CCCTCCCTTCCCAAAATCCGCCCCAATACGGTTTCTGACAAGGCACAAAGATAATCAGACGTCACCAGGAACTCGACCCGCCGTGCTGAGCGCCAGGGTTTGAGTCCGGCTAGAACTGTTGGTTGCTAGAGGTCATATGAATGCCGAAGATTAGAGGCGTTACAAGAGAGTAACAAACACAAAATAGAAGGATGGGAGATAAGAACGATAGATGTTTGACAAGAAAGAAGGAGCAAGCCACACCAGAGCACCCACCAACCACCAACATGACAGGGTACGTAACAAAAGTTCAGTTTTGAGCATGAAGAAACATATCGCCACGATAACGGTAGTTTAGAAGTGGGGTTTTTAGACCAGTCTTGCGTAAAGAGACACGTACCGACACAATAACGGGCATAATTTTCCATCATCAGATTCTGACAGCAGCTCAGTTTGTGTTACTGTGCGTTTAGTGCACGCAAAAACGTAAGACAGACACATTTACAGGGAAAAAGAAAAGAAGCTGCCCCCCCCCCCCCTTTGTACCCAACATTCCATCAATGCAAAATCAGAAACATTACTAACCCCTCCCCCACCCTAAACAACAACAACAACAAAAAGTAGTAACATACAATGACGAGAAGGAGGAAAGATAAGAACAATAGACGTTTGACAGGAAAGAAGGAGCAAACAACATCGGAGCACCCGCTAACAGCCCACCACAATATTGTGGAGTATAGTAAAGCTAAGCTGACAAGAACCGTCTGTTTCCCCTCACTTTCTTAACTTTCTACGCCAGGAACTCACTACAGAGTTCACCCCGGCGAGATTGTGACTAGAAACTGTCATCATGTGAGAAAGATACACAGATGCGGAGACTTAAACTTTCGCCTACCTTAAAAAGCACCCGTGACGTCACATAAACGACAGATTAGGACAGGAATAGACGGCGAGTTACAACGGTATACAGGCACTGAGCGATAGAAATAGACGTAGAGTTAAACAATATGATAGATAGAAGCCATGTACACGACATAAATAGATCATAGGTAAAACAACACAGTAGCACCCGTGGCACTGTGGGACAAACATAGAACGTAGGGTCAAAAGGTCAAGTGGTTGTGGGGGGTTTTTTTTCTCGTTGGATTACATGGTTAAATGATACAGTACCACTGCAAGACAATACAGCACTGGGTCAAACAGTCGATAAGTAGTTTTGTATTTTTTTCTTGTTGCATTACACGGTTAAACAATGCATTAGTAGTGAGTGACAAAAACAGGACGCGGGGTTAAGAGGTCAAGTAGCTTTTGCTTTTTTTGTTTTGTTTGTTTGTTTTTGTCTAGTTGTATAACATGGTTTAAGGAATCATTTTCACTGTGGGGCAAAAATAGAACACGGGGTCAAAATATCAAACGGCTATGTTTTGTTTGTTTGTTTTTGTCTAGTTGTATTACATGGTTGATCAATACAGTAGCAATGTGTGACAAAAATAGCATGCTGGGTCAAAAGGTCAAGTGGTTTTGTTCTTCCAGCTGAGGTGCATAAGCCGACAACTATCATGGCGCTCCCGGCATGAGGAAAACACCCGGAGCGACAAATCCGCCGGAGACAGCTATAAATAAATCACCGGAGACAGCAGCTATACAACTGTGATCTGATGAAACAAACTTTTTTGTCCATCTCGGGAAGAAAAATGCATTTTATCAGATCACAGGTGACTGCCGTGATCTGACGAAACGCATTTTTTTTTTCATTTTGGCGGGTAATTTTTTTTATTCCACTAATGAATTCTACATGTCGAAAGCCAACTTGAGATATAATTATGAAAGCCCAACTGCGACTAGTTTTTAAATAAATTAGCCTGTTCGATTTGTTAAAATGCATTTATTTCCAATGTGATCTGACAAAACGCATTTTCTCTTGCGTATCGACGTTCACAATAACTAATTCACTCAGATAAAGTGGTCTCGGCTCATGTTGTCCTCGTTTTGTTTGTTTTTTTGGGTTTTTTTTGTCTCCGCCATTTTCTTTTTCCAGTCTCCATGAGGTTCCATTTTCTTCTTTTGTCTATTTCATTTGTCTTTTTTAAATGTAGATGTTTTTACGCCTCAATCGACAAATTTAGATCTAGGAGGCGGGTTTCCACTCTGCCTGTCAAGAGACAACCCGGGCTGAGAGGGATACAACATTCTTGCAGAAAGCCGGAGTACTCTTTGTTTGTTTTAGCAGAGGTTTTACGGCGCTCGCAACTGCATAAGGTCATATGAGCGCCAAGGGGTGGATGTCAACAGAGAAGTCCTTACAGGGAATCAGACTTACTCTGCTCACCCCTCTAGCTTCAACAGCACAGAGTATGCTTCGACTATCAAGGCACTCCGAAAATAGCGGGTCACCAGAGTGTGACAACCATAAAAAAGAAGTAGAGGAAAATGACGATAGTAATGATTAGGAAAGGAAAAGGCAGTAGTCCCCTGTTGTAGTTCAGGCACAGTTATGAGCATAACATTGTTGGGAAAGCCCATTTACAATTTTACTGTGAGAACGAGAAATGTCTCCCTTTGGGAAAGGCCTAAAGATACTTCAGTCAGTGGCACCGCCCCCGGGGGGTTCGAAGTACTCGATAAAAGAATTCTCCCCACTCCGGAGTTGAATTCGAGTCTCCTGCGTGCGACGGCGAAGTGGCTAACCGCTACACCAGAGACGCCGGCCCTCTCTCCATTCCAGCAGAACGAAGAAAAGATAAACTTTTTGTTTTTGTTTGTTTGAGTAAAGAGAAGCACATAGCCAGACTAATGGTTGCTTAGTGCTGGGAAAAACTAAGACACGATTGATTAAATATGTGTTTTACGGCACTATCGACTCACTTTTGGTCATGCAAGCGCCTTAAGACAGGCAGAGAGAAACAACAGAGGGAAAGTAAATAAGTAGGACCTACCAATGACACCCTTCAACCACCCGCAAAAAGATAAACTAACAAAGACAATGAGCACACAAATCTTTCTAGCCTTCTACGATGGTTTCATACAAATAGGTCTACTTATAGTTACAACCAAGACAATAACACTAACAAATAGGATGACTTAGATCTAGAGACTTTCTAACGCTGACAGACACGGTCAGATGAGTCAAATA